GGTGGGTTTGAAAAGCCAATCTTTCAGCCAGCAAAAGTGGGAACTCATCAATCTCATTTTGAAATTAACTTGATTGGCCTTTCTCCCAAGACACCATGAAACGTAAAGTATCAAAACTTTTTGAGACTTTTGTTTTTAAAGGACAGCAAGGAAGTTTTAAATTTACCCCACTGCTGTTAATTCCAACTCAGAGTGCCTCTCCATTGGTTTTCCAGATCTGTAAATCTTTACAGAAGAGACTGAGAAGATGAAAAGTCCAAACCCAGGGCACCAGCTGTGGGGACAGGCTCCTTCTCTGGTGTCTTCTTAGCTCACATTGCCTCAGAATTCCTTGGTTCTCTGCACTGCTGTTTGTGCTCCCTCAGCTATCAAACTCTTCTAAACACACTCAGCACGACATCAGGAGTTTGGGGAGAGTTAGGGGCGGAGGGAGTAGCAGTTCAGGTAGCGGATATACTTATTTAGCCTCTGTATTTTCAGTGACGCACTAGGTCATCTGTAACTACCACGGATAACTTTAATTTTTAATCTTATAAACAGAAGTAAAAACCTGACAGCCAGTAGACTAAATTGGGTCCACTCATGTCTTCTGTTGGGCCTTAATTCACTTAAAACAATTTTTAAAAAGTGCTGCTAGCATTAAAATCAAATCAGTGTTATTCCATATAAAAAGTCAGTCTCTTGTTCTATTTTGAAAAACAGTAAGATCAGGAAACATGGCATGGCCACAGCTGTTGAAGCAGCTATCCTCTACAGTGGGGCCAGCAGCTCCAGTCCTCACCAATCCCTACTGTCTGACACTGCGCGGCAGGATCACTACCATGATTTCACAGCCAATTTCTTTCCCACCTTGCCCAGCTACACTGGTGCCCATGAAGAAATAACATCTACAAAAGAAGAGGCAAACCTGACTGAGGGTCACTGAGTTGGAACAAACTCAAGATGAGTGGGTTTGAGAGTAAGTAAGAGCAGATGTCTTCACTAGCAATATAAATAGAAGACTATGAACCTTCACTGCCATTGTTCCTCCACTCTCTCCTACAAAGACAAAAAGCATATACTCTCCCCAACACCCCTCATGCTGGTCACAGTAGTGTTGAGGTGGTTGAAGGCTATAGTTTTATTTTTCCATGGACAAGGAGGTATGTGTCTTCTTGAAGAACAAAATGGGTCTTCTTTTAAAGAAAGAGATGCTCAAGTCTGAAAAAAGAAAAACTTCTGAAAATCATGTAACCCCACATTTTTAGAAGGGCAGTCTACCTACTTGTTTGCACAAAGCCTGGGGAAGTATGACTAGATGGGGCTGTTTTAAACAAATCAACAAAAGCACTCGTGGTTATGAGGCAACTTCAGAGATACATGAACTTGAATACCCACTGCTTCTATGCAATAATTCCACTGGTGTCACCACTAAAGGCATTTCCCCTCGCCTCTAAACTTCTGGGACTACTTGTAGTTATTGCTAATGTGGCAACCAAAAACATTCACCTTCTGATTTTATGGCCCCGTTTCATTCTGGGTATACAATACTATTACTTGATTTTAGTTCTCAATAACATAATGTCTGATGCCTTCTGAAGACCAGGGTCTGCTAGGACCCTAAGCCTGTCCTCAAGAGGCAGTTCAGCACCCTGTGCAAGTGGGAAGAGGCCTGGGGAGGTGGTGCTCATCTCTGCAGACCCCTCTGTGAAGAGGCCTATCTTTATGTGGCCTTTAACCTCTCTGACCACTTTGCTGGCAAAGCCGATTGTGCCAGAAGCTAAACCCACTCTGTGGGCGCTGAGGAGTTCAAATGACCAATCATTCCCAAACTTCTGCTACAACAGGCTTCTCAGCTACCTGGGCCTCGAATTAGTGCCTTCTCCTTTCCACAAGACACTGTCTGGTGTGTCCACACGTTTTGGGTTCTTGGGTTTTTTTTTTCCCCCTCTGGAATAAGAGCTCTGCTGACATCGTCTCTGAACTGGAATTCTTGTTTCCCCCAGTGTCTAAATTCTGTGATTTGGCAGAACCTTTTCCTGAATTCCATTTTATCATTTCCACCATGAGGGACAATTTGTGAGTCAAAAAATGCGGCTCTGCTTCACACAGATGTTTTGCCTTAATCTGCAAGGCAGCCATCCCCAGTCCCTGCGTGAGATGGAGTGAGTTGAAAAGGGAAACTAATGAGGTAGAACGAGGAAGCTGGACTTCTCATTTGTACCATGGCTCTAGTATCTGGTTTGTGTGCTAGACCATTAACAACATTTTTTACTTCAAAGTATCCATACTCTAACTGCAAACTCTAAATCACTTGCTTTTTGGATTAGTACATTCCCTGATCCCTCCCATTTTCAGTATGTTCATCTGCCAAGCTGTCTGCACACGCACAGGGAGCCTGGCTCAATCTTCCCCCGGTCCATTCTCCAATGGTGTCTCTGACCCACTTTTCCTTTCTAGCAAAGGTTCATCTTAAAAGTGGCTCCTCACGGTTCCTTTGGGGCACGCAACATTCTTTGTCCTCGACAGGAAATCCCTCTGATGATGTTCCAAAGCTTGGATGCACAGGCTGCACCACAGAATGTGGCTAAGGCTGAGAAGGCCGGACAGTCTCAGATTCCACTGGTGACAACTTGAACTTCTCTCCTCCAACGAGATGTCTGGTTTTATGGGGGGCAGTGAGCTGCAGCTCCACTTGTCTGTCTCTTGCTCACAGCAGCTGTGCGAAACCTGATGCCAGAGAACCCAGGAGCACGTTCTTCTCCTAAGAAGCTGCCAGCTGCCTCTCCAGAGCAAGGAGTACGACATTTGCATTAAAAATACACACAGCCCTCTTCTTTCCAGCAGGGGTGCAAAACCTCCCCAACCCCACCTGCCCAGCACATGTTTAGAAGGGAAAATCCTCCCTTGCTCCACAGCCCTTTTCAGCATCGCTCCCCTTAGGACCTCATCTCTCTAATGAAGAAGTGAAAGGGCTCCCCAGCCTCAATAGGCACACACTCCCACCCTCAAGAGGAGTGCTGAGAAATTAGGGTGCCAGATTCCAACAGCACCTGCAAAAAGGGCCGGGAAAGATGCACATGCCACGTGTCACACTCTTTGAGAGCATGGGAAGTGAAGAGGGAGAGGAATTCCACTATGAGATCAACACCCAGCATTCATCACATATGTAACCAACAAGCTTCACTTAAACAAATGTTAGCACTTTGGAAAACAGGAATTCTAAATAGAAATCACTCCTAAGAGAGCATGCACTTTATCCTTTTCAAAGCAAATTCTTCCCCACCAAGCTCTGAACTGAAAAAAAGACTGGAACTGTCTACATCATAATCTTACTTGGATAGCACCCTTGGTATCAGCAGTCAGGTCAGGCGATGTATTGCGCTAGCAAAGTTTGCAGCCAGGGACTTCTCCAAATTACTAAGGAGCAATGCTGTCAGTTTAAAGACTGAAGTGCGCCTGATTTAGGATACAGTCTTTTCAATTGTTTGCTATGCACCTGAAAGCTGGACAATGAATAAAGGAAGAGAACTGATGGCTTTGAGCTGTGGTGTGGACTGCCAAGAGAATGGGTATGTCTTACGGAACATGGAGCCAGAGTGCTTCTTGTAGGCAAAGATGACAAAATTTCGTCTCACCTACTTTGGGCATATTGTTAGGAGAGGCTATTCCTTGGAGGTGAGTATCATGCTTGGAATAATGGAGGGTAGGTGAAAGACAGGAAGATTCTCAGTAAAATGGATTCATACAGGGATTGCAGCAATGGAAGCAAATATATCAGAAATGATGATGAGGTACAGGATAGGGCAGGGTTCAGATTGTTATTCATAGGGTCACTATGAGTTGTACTCGTGTTGAAGGCACCAAAAACAATGACAGCAGCTAAGCTCGGAAAGCCTGCTTTTTGGTAGGATGGATCACTAGAGGCCAAGTCTCTCACCGAGGACGAACATGAGAAATACAAAATGAACCAGGATCCATTGGGCTGAAGAGGGGAGCACTTTTAGATTTGGGAATCTCAACGATGTCAGGTACTGTGTCTTCTTTGGGAAGCTGCTAGACAAGCTTGATTGGCTTTGTGACAGCCCCTCCTTTCCATCTTTAAAATTAAAAAACTTTCATCACTGTCCACACTACTTTAGCAGAGTAGCTGGTCACCATCTCCACACACTGCTGGAGATTCACTTGCTGGATTTCTGTGGGTTCTGCTCCACAGCCAGATCAACTGAAGCACAAACTTCAACTTCCAGTAATATGGCCAGCTCCAAACCAGTCTCTTACAAATAAACATCAGGGCACCAACATCAGAGAGTGCTGCAAATGGAACCCAGGGACAGCTGGCAGACAGATGGGGTTCTGCATGATGTCAATGTCCACAAAGGTGTTCCAAGTGCTATGTTACCTTCTGAATGATGACTCAACTGTCACAGACAGAATGGGCCCTACAGCAGTCAGCCAGCATGTTACCCTCTAGGACATGAAGAGTTGATTTATAAAGGGTTACTGCCACTTCTGAGCTTTGACTTAAGAGTGGACTGAATGTCCACAGCATGGTAAGTTCTGCATCAGGAAATGACAAAGAGCATTATCCTCAATGATACCAATTCTAGATAAACTGGCTCTTACTTTTCTGTGGCTGCAATAACCACACAAGTGCTTTTTTTCCACAGAACATTTCAGATCAAAGGAGCGAGCAGGAAACAGGCGGAGTTTGCAGAGATTAAGTCTGATTGGTGAATAGAAATAATTTCCTATTTGTCTTTATATAGTCTCTTCCTTGGCCAGCTGTTGTAAAACCTACAGATGTGCTCCTCAGCACTCCACATGGTTTGAGAGAACTGGGTACTGTGCCAAGGTACCTGACAGAGGGTGGAGCAAGGAGAGCAAGTACTGGCCAAAGTTTCACCCAGGCTATCCATGTCCAAGACCTCAGCTTCAGGTGGGGTTTGAAACCAGAGCGGGGTGCTGGGGAGCCAGGTACAGTGGCAGTTAAAGTGGCAATGCTTTGATGTTTCTGTTCTTTACAAAGGGGCGACTGCATGGAGTTCATCAGTGTAGCTGTGGCAGCTGAGGTCTGCTGTGCACGCCTGAGCAGCCAGGAGCTTGGCAGGAAGGGCCGGGGGCTCCTCCTCACCTGAGGAGAAAGGGCAGAGTCACATGGTCATTGTATGCCCCTGGGTATGCACATCTCCCATATGCAGTAAGGCAGCCCCAACTCCTATCACCCCACTTACAGGATCTGGGATGCTCTTGATTAAGGAAGAAGAGGTCTTCCTGGAGGACCCAAGATTTCCATGCCCTGCTACAGTCAGCCCTGGGCAAAGCAAGAGGTGGCCCAAGAGGGCTCCTCAGAGCACCCTCTGACCTTGGGCTCAGTGCTGAGCTGGGATGGAGGGTCCTTTGCACATAGCCCCAGGTTCCACAGATGTGGCTTTAAATTGTGGCAGTGAGGCAGAGAGAAAACAGCAGGTCCCAGCAGAGATCACTCCTGGGGCCTCAGTTAAGGCCCACAGTGACCTCCTGTGTACAGAGTGGACCTGTTGCCCAGGTTTGTAACCTTAAAGATGTTGGTCTCCAGGCTTTCTTCTGTTCACAGCTGAGTGGATTCAAATTATCAACCTTTACATTAGTAGTTGGGGGCTAAATATTTCATAACGCCTGGACCCTTCCAAACAAAGATGTGGGGCCACAAGCTTGTCCAAACCCTCAAGGCCCAATGTGTTCTGGCCTTCATATATTCTGGAGTTTCAGAAAAGTGATGTAATGTGCCTGATGTAATATATATCCCATAACAACCTTCAAGAGCTCTGGGCAGCCCACCTTAATTTAATATCAAGATTTCTACAGCTCAAAAACAATTCTACTGTACAGGCAGATGTTGTTTTAGAATACTTGCAGACACTGCCTTTTCTTAAAAAAAAAATAAAATAAAACACCCCACCAAATGGAAGGTCTGTGGTCACCTTGTACTGGGTGAACTCTACTGCAGCCCCTTTCCAACACGTGCTCACTTCATGTCTATGTGTCCCATCCTGGTAACTTTTACAATATTTGACATTTTTTCCAAATGCACTTTTTATGCATACTGAATTCATGTGACACACTTGATTGTAAACTTTGCTTTGTGGCAGTGGTGTCTCTGAGCTAGGCCTGTACCTCGGGTAAATCATGACACGCAGCAGGCTCGTGCTACACACTATCAGGCTCTGCTTGTGCCGAAGTCAGGAAAGCACTTCTGTGGCTTTTGGGCTCACGGTTTAAGTCCAATGTGGCCCAGGCGGCTGCACCTCCCACCCCTCCTCCTTACCCAGGCCGGAGGACGACGACACGCTCTCGGTCAGCGAAGAGGTTTCTGTGTGGTCCGCCGAGAGCCCTTCCATCAGTGGCAGGGACAGCTCGGACGAGGGCACGGACGAGTCGTAGATGCCTGAGTCCCTGGGCATGTCTGAGGGCCCAGCAGCCTTGGCCGCGTGCAGCAGGGGCCGCAGGACGGCACAGTCGGGGGCCGCTCGGGCCTCGGGGTCTTCGTCCGGGCCGAGGTGCTGGCTCCCTGCGCGCGAGCCTGGCAGAGGGGCCCCGGCCTTGAGCCCAGAAGCACCGTCGGTCCCCGGCTTGCACACCACGTCGTTCAACACCAAGCCCGAGTCAAACTTCTCCAGTGGCGGCTCCCGGGGCCTCGGCGGTGCCGGGTGGGCCGGTGCGCACTGCCTCTCGAACCAGTCGGGCTCCTCGTCCAGGAACTGGTGCATGTTGCAGATGGCGACGTAGAGCGAGCGGCCCGACTTGCTCCGGAAGTAGTTGCGGCGGCTGGCGGCGGGGTGCGGCCCGGGCCCCGGGGGGTGCAGGTGGGAGCAGAGCTGGGGCAGGTGGTCCATGAGCTTGTACTTGGTGCTCAGGCCCAGCACGCCCGGCACGTCGCCCTCGCACGAGTAGTCGAAGTAGACGGCGATGAACTTGCGCAGCCCCGCGGCGCTCTGCTGGGCCTGGCGCAGCTTCTCCGCGATGGCCGCCACGGCCACCAGGAAGAGGTCCCCCTGGCCCGCGCCCCGGCCGCCCACCTTGGGCTTGTGCTGCTTCCTGTCCACAAAGTACTTCATGCCTTTGGAGCACACCACAATGATGAACTGCGACTCGTGGATCTTCTGGATGACCCACTCCCGCTGCCCTTCTCGGCACGGGCTGAAGTCTTCCCACAGGTCCAGGGTCACCTGGAAAGACAGTGGTGTCACCTCACCTGTGCCACGTGCTCAGGAAGAGCCGGCAGGTCGTGGGCCAAGGACGAGGGGAACCTTTCTCTCCGCCCGATATCTGCCATGAGCACCTCTATGTGCGGGCACCGTTTCCGCCGCCTTCCGTGGGGACACCCACACACACCAGGCCCACTGCTATAGGCTTGCCATCCACCACGGGGAGTCATTTTAGCGCCAGGTTGAGCCATTACTTTACCATCACACTACATGTGAGCACAGAGCTTTTAATCCAAGTCCCCACTTAATGGGACCCCTTCAAGAAACTTAGACTGGGGCTGGGGGAAAACTTAAGGGATAAATAGTGAACACTGCATTGGATCAGAAGAACTGTTTAAAAGGAATATATGATTAGGCATTACTTGTATGACAGCAGTCCAGAATAAGAGGAACATAGCAAAGTGGACTTGGACAAGGGAGCGAGGAAATTATGCAACAGTGAATGATTTTTTTTTAAAGTGAACTAAGGGGGACTAGGGAGGAAAATGTGCAACAATGAATAAATGAAAATCCAACTTCTCTGCAAACTTTCGTTAAAATCACAATAATAAAGAAACTTAGATTGATGGGGAGTCAAGAAAATGGAAGAATTGGGGTTAGTGTGGCTGATGAGTAGTGGAGTCAGCTTGGTTGGGAGGGATCAGACCCTAGGGAGAAAGCCCCTGTGGGAGGCTCTGAACAGAATGTGGGCTGGACCATGGAGTTCAGCAGTGGATGCTGGAGTCACCCCCAATCCTACGAGGCCTTGCCCAGAGAGGAAAGCTGCACATATAGCACCCTAACAAGCCTGCCAGTGGTGTCCATACTGTTTACTAATGGTAAATGGCTGGAGAGGAGGGAGAGTGGTGACCTTCATTCTGGTTAATTCTCATGGGGGTGACACCTGCATGATCTGCAGAGGCACACCCCTGCAACCTTCAGGCAGAACAAAGGAGATCAGTGGGATCCAGCAGGGGGCACCAGGTACATGCCATCCTCAGAGGGCTCACTTTTCACACCACTTTTATCTGCTTCTATTGAAAACATCTCCCGGCAACTGTATTGGTCATTTTCCTTCCCCAGCTTAGAAACTACTTCCTAATGACTGAATAGACAGCTACTGTCTTACAGGAGAAGGGAATTCTGTAAAGATGTTATTCTCTTCTTTTGTTCTAATGTTACAAAGGGGAAAAACGTCCACAGAACCTACCTGCTAAAAATAATTCTGAATTCACCTTCCTTTAATTCTTCCTAACATTATCTACATTAAAGGTTAATAACTACTATGTTGTTGTTGTGTACCATAGAATCAGAACTGACCCACAGCTGACCCTGTAGGAGGTTTTCAGAGGCAGTAATCGCACTGGAGGAGATTGCCCATCTTTCTCCTGACAGCAAGCGTTCTTTTTTTTTAGGATGGTAATACCTTTGGCCCAGCAGTTCCATTTCCAGGCATTCATTCTTGAAAAATCATGATAAATGGGGTAAAATTTATTTGTTGTTGTTGTTATGTGCCGTCGAGTCGCCTGCGACTCATAGCGACTCTATGTACAACAGCCCTAAACTCCGCTCTGTCCTGTGCCAATCGCACTGTCTCTGACACTCCCATCCCAATTATCCCAGTCACTGAATCAATCCACCTCATAGAGGGCCTTCCTCTCCTGCGCCGTCCCTCCACCCTCCCAAGCATGATGTCCCTCTCCAAGGACCAGTCTCTCCTCACTACATGTCCGAAGTAAGTTAGACGGAGCCTCAGAATCCTTGCCTCCAAGGAGCCACCCGGTTTAACCCTCTCCAGGACAAATCTATTTGTTTTCCTAGCAGTCCATGGTATTCTCAGTACTCTTCTTCAGCACCACAGCTCAAAGGCATCAGTTCTCCTTCTATCCTCCTTGGTCACTGTCCAACTCTCTGATGCATAACAGGTGATTGCGAAGACTATGGCCTGTATCAGATGCACCTTAGTCTCCAGAGAGACACCACTGCTCTTCAGCACTTTGGAGAGGTCCCTAACAGCAGACTTTCCCATGGCAATGCGCCTTTTAATTTCCTGGCTGCTGGTGCCAAGACTGTTGACTATGGAGCCAAGCAAACTAAAGCTGTGTGAAGTGCTGGTGGCATTTTGGAGTTGTAATACTAACCCAAAGGCCTCATCTCTGGTGATTTGAATCTACCAGCAACTCCAAGGGAGAACGATGGGCAGTCTGAGACATTTAACATTTTTACCTAACTCAATTATGGTGAGCCATACTGACTGTTACAAATGCAGTTTATATAAAACTGTTGACAGTGTGAAAAATTATTAACTGGAATATCCCTATATGAGCCCACCAAAAGAAAGACAGAAAGAAAACGGAAAAGTCAAAAAACATTCCTGCGAGCCCCAGATATAAAATTCAATGTATGAGCTCATCTCTGCCAAAAAAAATACACCTCAAAATTGGAGGGAAAACCTTCAAACATTGTCTCTTTGAAAGTATTCTCTTTCTCCATGTTGGGATTAAAAACAAGGCAAGTGTTCACTTGTCAACATTTTCTACAGTTTCCAGTTTTTCTACATAAGTTACTTCATTCACAGTTGGAAATGGTTTCTGCCCCGCAAGGATAATTACTTACAAAGCAGAGAAAGCTGGGCTGTCTGTGGCATCTGAAGACAATGAGCGCTACAGGCAATAGTCTGCACCCAGACTCAACACAGACTCATCTGCCAACCTCATCCTTTCAGGGAAAACCTGGCCACCCTTGGACATACTCCGTTCGACACTAGGGGGCAGCCTTGTCACAGGAAGAGATCTGAGAAACCCACCAGTGGGGCTGATTCAAAGCACAAACTTTGAACTACACAATGATTGGACACTTCTTGCATTTCTAAGACACAGAGTGTGCTTTTCACAAGAACTGCGGATCTCTAAAAGGTACTGCTATGAAATGATAAAGAAATGGCATACTTAACTCAAGCGAATGGCTAGGAAACCAGAGTCAATTTGAGCCCCCGACCCAGTAGAGTCTTCTGGGAGTTTCTCCATTTCCTGCCTCTGGGAGAATGTCCTCTTCCCCACAGCACTGGTGTCACCTTTGCACTGCTTTGTACCAGTCAGGGGTCCAAGGACCACACAGAGCTGTTTATTAAACTTTCCTCCCTGGATCTCAAGATGCCCTAGAATGGCAACTCCATTTCTTCTTCCCTTTCTCCAAAACTGTCCAAACTCACTTCCCTTTGTCCCTGACCCACTCCATTGGGATTTCATTCTGGAATAAGCTCAGAGGTAGTCACTCTCACAGCCTCTACGTGACACTACTAACATGTTCTCATACCTACCTTCTGGCTTTACTGCTTGAGGACGTCCTGCTAATGCCACTCAAGGCTTTTGAGCAGGAGCGTGTCAGGGTTAGGACGGACACTGAGCATTGGTGCCAGGAGGGGTAGACACAACACAGGGGCTGGACCCAACTTGGAAGTGATGACACTGCTCCGAAGCAGGTGCCACCAGGGGCTCAGAGGGAGAGTGGTGACCTGCACTCTAGTTAATTCTCTCAGGGGGGACCTGCATGATCTGCAGAGGCACATCCTTGAAGCATGCATTCAAGCCATCAGAAAGCAAACAAACGAGATTCCGCACCTCACAGCCACAGAAGTCCTGCAGGAAATATGCAAAGCACTGGACGACGTTCACATGGTTCTGGCCATCCTTACTGGAATAGCAGAGGAAGACTTTGGGCCGAGGCCGGAGCCTCTCTCTGGGCAGTGCGGCAGCATACGTGGAGGATTCGGAGCTCTCTTCATCTAAATGTGAATATATATTTTCTAAATTGAAAGAAAAGACAGGGTTGACACCCACGACCAACACTTTGTCCAGTGCCCTAACACGAATGCTGCAGAGCTCTCTCGAAGACAGTCCGGCAGTCCCAGCCCCCCAACTCCACCAGCCCTTGGCCATCACTGAGATCTGGCCAGCTGACGTCTCCAGTGGAGCAAGCAGATAGCCAGAATCGCTCTTAACTTGAAAGCGATTGCACACAAACTGAAAAATACTACAGAGACCCACCCAGGTCAGCTGAGCTCAGAGACCAGATCTTGAAACCACATGTACGATCCAATGAATTATTACTTAAGGGCATACCTATTTAACTGCTATCCAGATCAGAATAACATTTTCAGCACTCAGGGGGCTCACTTGTATAGTGGCCTAACTTTTCCCTCAACCCTTATTCTCAGTTGCTATTAAGTCAATTCTGACTCGTGGTGACCCCATGAATTACAATCCACTCATTGGCAATGGGCGTTAAATGACAGTCAGGATGCAGACAAATGAAGAACCACTCCATAAGGTTTTCAAATCTGTGAGGACTTTGAGGAAGGAGCTCAGAGACCTTTCTTCCCAAGTGTCTCCGGGTGGGTTCAAACGCAAACCTTCTGCTAACAGATAAGAGCTTAACAGTTTACACCACCCAGGGGTTCACCTCACCTGTGCCCTGACTACCACTGTAAGCCAGGTGCCATTAAGCTGACAGTAATGCCTGGTGACTTCGTGTGTATTGGAGTAGAACTGAGCTGTGGCAGATTTCCAAAGGCTGATTTTTCAGAAGTAATTCACTAGGTCTTTCCTCCAAGGCATTAGGTGGACACACTCTTGCAACCTGTCATTCAGTTAGCAGCTAAGAACAATTAACTGTTTACACTTGCCAGACTCCAATTCACGTTTTGAACTTTGCTTTAAACAACCTCAAAAATATCAAGCCCACAGCCACTGAGTAAAATCCAGCTCACAATGACTTCCGTTGTGTTTCTATCACTGAAAGTTTAAAGAGATTGCCTATCTTCCTCCCCCAGAGTGGCTGGTGGATTTAAAACACCAAGCTTTCAGCTTGTAGCTCAACATTCTGAACCACTAGGGCTGCTTTTGACATCCTTTATGCCACTTGATTTCCCTTGTTTTACAGAATTTGAGACTGGAACACTACCTGTCCTTTTAGAGATTAAAGAGGTTAAAAAGCAAGCACTCTAATTCTGGGAAATTCATGTTCTGTCTCTACTTAACTGCTGGTGTCCACACTTGCCAGGGCTTTCCAGAAGTCAGCTCTGGACCCCTGGGCACACCTCAGCCGGCCAAGAAACTAGCACTCCAGCCTCCCTTTCTGTTGGCATGGATGTGCGTCCTACCCATAGGTGCGGAGGGTGGGGGCCTGGGGGACACACCACACAAAGAGATACCTTGTTGCTTCTTGCGACACATCACGGTGAAGAGCGTGGCAAATGCTGATATGACGACCAGTGGCACAGTGATGGCGACAGCTCGGATGGGCCCTGCCCACGGGGAGTGCACTGAGGGGTTTCAAAGGGAAGCACTTTCAACTTAAGTAGCGTAAAAGGTTCAAAGTGAACCAACTTTCCTCCCTTCTTTTTTAAAAAATATGTAAGCTGTGTAACAGGTTCCAGGACCACTCAACAACCTTTTTCTAGGACTGATTTGGTGATTATAAAAGGATTCAACTGTTCATTTTGAGAGGGTTAAAGAAAACAATTCAACAGTGAGAGTCTGCCCGCTGTAGTAAATACCTCTGAGTGAGAATTTTGCCCAAGGAAACCTCCCCTCAGACTTGTCTTCCAAAGAGGACAATCGACTATTTGTTTAGTCCCAGTGACTCACCCACCACACTGTCTTTGATCTCCCAGGCAGCAACAGCAGGGAGGATGCAAAGTCAGATTGGAGGGAACATCTTTTGAAAAGAGAGAGGAGCCAGGTTTTGTTTTGTTTTAAACTATAAAGTAGGAAAAAAAGAATCTTGGACACCTTGATCTACTGTGGTCTAGAACTGAACCGTCAAACAAGGCGGCGGCTTACCTGGCTTTAAAGCATAATGCACCACTTTCCTTGTTGTGTTAGTATCATCCACCAGCTGCAAAACAGAGAATGCTTTTATAAACACTTATTTAAAGTGACAGCACTTCAACACGTTATGCCTACCAGGCAAGTGGGGAATGTGGAATGGTGATCTCACTCATTTTCCCACCTGTGGGCAGGTGTGGAGGGCATGAGGGAGGGGAGAAGAACCTCTGTGAGGAATGTTTGCTGGTGCCCGAGACCATTCCTGAGGCTGAGAGTAGGCATGACATGGACTTGGGAACACCTCTGCTTTACCAACTCAAAGCTCCAAAGTCCATCACGCTTCCTTTGAGGAATCAAACGGTGTTGATTCACTGAAGAATTCAGCCAGTGAGCCCAATATTCTAACAGCAGCCAGTGAAAACAGTCCTGCACTGATTTTTATGTCTATAATCAACATCCATGGCAGCAGCAGTCAAGAACCAAAACACCCCTCATGTTGCATTGGAAAACCTCCTCTCAGGGACTGCTCAAAAATGCTGAAGAGCAAGGATATCAGCTTAAAAACTAACGTGCACCTGAACATAGTCATATTTTCAACTGCTTCCTATGCATCTAAAAGTTGGACAATAGGCACGTTCTGGTGGCCTAGTGGCAAGAAGCTACACTGCAATACCAGAGGTGTGTGGTTCGAATCCACCAGATGCTTTTCTAGAGAAGGAGGAACAATCTTCTGTACCTGTCAGATCTGATTTGACAGTACACACACACACATACACACACACACACAATTTTTAAAAAAAAAAAGTTGGACAATAAATAATGACTGGATAAGAAAAATCAATAACTTGCATTGTGATGTTGAAGAAGAGTAACCCATAGAACTGTCAAAAGAACAAACAGGTCTGTCTTGGAGGAAGTGCAAACAGGGTGGCTTCTGAGAGGCAATGATGGTGAAACGTAATCTCATATACTTTGGGCATGCTGTCAGGAAGGGCTGGGAACCACAATATTGCGTAGAGGGTCAGTGAAAAATAGGAAGATCCTCAACAAGACAGGTTGAAAAAGGCAGGACCGCCCCTGGGCTCACTCCTGCCGGGCAGCTCACAACACCTAACAACAACATGATACTGGGAAAGTGATCTAAAAGAAAACATCACTTACATGTCTTTTAGTTTATATATAAAGTTCAAAAGAAACCCTACAGGCCCATGGGCAGATCTAATAGGTATTACTTTGGTTTTGCTCTTTTTATATTAAATTTTTTAAAAGCTTTTTTAAAAAACTAAAACCCTGTGTTTAAAAACCCCTCTGTAGTATGAAGGAATATCCGATAGCAATTTTAAACTGTGTGTATGTGGATTATATTACTACATTAAAATATTTATTTGAAATTTTTACAACAAAATTAAAGACTAATTATGTATAAGCTATAAAAAAACCTTGCTCTTTAAGAACCACATAAAAATATAACCACAAATGTAACTGTCCACACCTTCAATGGCTAGAAATTTCAGCACTGTAAACAGTTGGGATTCTGAACGGACTTTGTTCTGCAGAATTAATAGCAGGGCTTTCCTGAGTCATATTTACCTCAATTATATAATCCCCTGGGGAGACATTTTGAAGGAGGCAGCTTGTTGTATCTGTATTTCGCTCCTGCAAAGACACAAATGGCATTTTAAAGACTTACTTTTGGGATTAAGTCATCAGATCCCTCTCCCCAACGAGAGCTGCAAGAAACCTGCTACCAGCTTCAACCGCACTTTCCCAAAGATACTGACTCATTCAGAGGCCAAGCATGTTATTATCTAAGCTTCATTTTGCTAAAAGGCCCAGGAGTGCTCTATGCCTCAGTCATGTTTTATACTCCACTGGTGGTGCCTTCAGCAGCAATAGGTGATCTGTGGACAAGGAAATGAGTGAGAGCTTTCCCTACTCAAAGGTTTAGGGGAGAAATGACTAGTTTACATGTATGTGTGGGAGTCCTGGTGACACAGGGTTTAAAGCATCTGGCTGCCAATCAAAATGTCAGCATAGTTCAAACTCACCAGCCTCTCCACAGGAGAAATACGTGGAAGTCTGCGACCATGAATGCTTCTGTAAACTGACTGCCATGTCTTTTCCCCGCAGAGCAGCGGGGCTGGAACTGCCAGTCTTTTGGCAGCAACTGGGCATTTGACCACTGCTTCACTAGGTCTCCTTACGTAAAGACTGCAGCCCAGGACACCTTAGGGGAAGTCTTACTGTCCTAGGTGCTCACTAAGTGTCAGAATCCATTAGACAGCAATGGAGAGTGTGGGTGTGGGTGTAATCTGCCGTAATTTTAACCTGGGCACAAAGTCAATGGCAAAAGTGACAGCCAAAGAGAGAAAGCAAAACTGAGGGAATCAGGCTGGTTCATGGGCCTGGCTTAGAGGGTTCTGGGTTTGACCACCACAGTCAAACTTCTCATCGTCTGCTGGGGTGACCTGGTAGTTCTGTAAACCTTCCTGCACATCTCCCCACCCTCTGAAAGCCCCAGCTTAAGGACTGTCTATTGTGTTTCTAATGTTCCCTGGTTTATTTGGAATATAAAAGCAGCAAGAGAATTACTAGTGGCTTGGATTCTAGATCTGTTTTTCCCCAATTATAAACTGTAGTAATCTGTGAACTTGCAGTCAAATGACCTCCCTGAGCCCAAGATTCTCCACCTATAAAATGGGGACAGCAGCAGCCTCTATTTCACTGAACTATAAAGACTCTTAAATTGGGGCAAAATTTGTTGCCTGGCATTCAGAGGACACCAGTTAAAGAGTCTTGAGTAAATGAAGAACAAAGGAAGCAGCCTTCATCATTTTGGTTCCTTGACATACATCTACCAGGCTTTCTCACTACTGGAAGGAGCTCTGATGGGACAGCAGGTAAAGAGCTGGGCCGCTAATGGCAAGGTGCTCTGTGAGGGAACCTTGGTGGACCATTTCCTGCCATAATCATTTACAGTCTCAGAAACCCTGAAGAAAGGTGGTCATAAGCTGGAATCAGCTGGACAGCAGTGGGTTATCACTACTGTGAGGGGCCCCTAATGGCACAGTGGTTAACCCATCAGCTGCTCCATGGCAGAAAGGTCTGGCAGTCTGCTTCTGTAAATACAGCCTCTGAAACCCTATGGGGAAAGCTCCATTCTGCTCTGAAAGGTTGCTATGTGTCATAATCAATGGGAAAGCAGTGTGTTTGGTTTGGGAATGACTGCTGGGTGGTGGTGGGTTTATAAGTGGTGAGACATGCTTGGTGACAACCCTCTAGAATTCCCGCCAGTGCTAGAATCATCATGCGAAGCTTCCCAATTACAGCGCCCCAGTGGGTATGATAAAGCACATGGTGTTCTTCACCCACATTCCGCAGCTCACCTGCCTACAAATCTTTCGCTTAAAGGGTCCTTCATGCTTAAGCTTGTAATGAAGGTAGAAGAAGCGGAAGCCGAAGTTGTGAGGTGCGTGGTCGAAGGACACCTGCATGTCCGATCCGTGCTGGGTGATGTTCAGGTTCCGAGGCTTCCAGACTGTTAGGAGGAAGGGACAAGGTGAGCCCTCAGAGCCACCCAACCCCAACCCCAACCCCAGGGCAGCGCTGTCAGGCCTGACAGACACAAACAACAGCTCTACTCACACGGCTTGCAGGCCAGGTTGTCCGGCTGCAGCAACAGGTCACAGGCTATCAAGAGAAAACATATTTCTAATTTTAGAACAGGTGCAGCTTTTCCTCCTCTGTTAACTCTTTCAAATAAAAAAAAAAATAAAGAATACTGACATGAACAGACATAATGCATGTTCACGGAAGCATTATTCAGAACAGCAAAAAGATGGAAAACTTTGTCCACCAAGGGTCCAAACTGCCAATGAGTGTCCAGAAGTGAATGGATACAGATAAATAAATTGCAAACCACACATACACACAATGGAATTCCACACAATATTAAGATTAATGATGAATCCAGAATAGAGACAGGAGGAACAACCAAGACTATCCTTCAAATCTAGAGCTGGGCCCAGCCAACCCCAGGAATCACCTTTCAGCCAATCAATTGACAGGCTTATAAAATGAACATTAACACTTCTCACTATACTCAACCATATAAGAGTTTATAAAGCAGGAAGAGGAAGAAAATATGGGCAAATGGAAATGGAGACCCCAGGGAGGAAGTGGTAATAGTGCTGTTATGGTGAGGGAATTATTACAATCAATGTCACAAAACAAAACTATACATACCTTGCTAAATGGAAAACTAATTTGCTCTATAAACTTCTACCCAAACCATAATAAAATGTTCAAATAATAAGAAACCCCCAACTATGAGAAACTGCCTATCTAAAATGGACCACGAAATAAGTTCTGTTCTTTGAAAATGGTGTTCTCAAAGAAATTAATCTTTAGGGTAACCCATCCCTCAAAATATGCACATTCCTGGGTGCTGCTGGAAGGGAATGAAAGACACCAATCAGTTCAGCCAAGATGCACAGCACAATGCAATGGCAGCTTACAAATGTTTAAAATGGTACAATGTGCAGTCTTAACTTTACACAAAGAACAAGAAACTGTATAAAGCTGCTTAGGTTGAAAAACCTTGTCTAGTCTTACACCATTTCAAAGCTGGTGGCCAAGGATTGTGGGACTGTATTCATGGTACTGTCACTTGGAGGTTATGTTTAGCTGAAAACAGAAACCATTAAGCTCCTACCCCACTGTGTTGGTGCCCTAGTGACATAATGAGTCACGTGTTGGACTGTTAACCACAACACTGGTGGTTTGGATGCTTCAGCCATTCCTGGTGGAACGGAGAAGGATAATGACACAAATCTGCTCCCAGTAAGATGTCCATTCTCGGAAACCTCAAGGAGAGTTGCCACAGGTCAGGAGCAACTCAAAGGTGGTGAGTTTTACCCCTAAAAGGTGAAGGACCTCTGACAGTACAGCATTTGGCTGTTAACCTAAATGCCAGTGGTTCAATCTGCTCCCATATGGAGTTACAGCTTTGGAGACCCCATGGGGCAGTTCTACTAAGGGGTCACCAAGAGTCGGACCCAGCTCTATGAGAACAGGCTTTTGGTCTCCCACTGTGTTCAGCAGGAACAAGAAACATTAGTTTACCCTTGGTAGCTGCTGGGAGGTTATTTTAACCTTCACTGGTGTTCTCATTTCAAATCATTTCTACGGGGTCTAAACCAAGCATCCAGGCATCTACTAAACCATGAAGGCCCTGAAAACCAGACAAAGCCTTGAAATAGGACTTGACTATGATAAACACAATGAAAGAGAGCAAATGGCTAGTGGGCTTGCTGTAGAAGCAACACGCAGCTAACTTCAGACAGACCTCTCTGGGAACAGCACACACTGCCAAAAACCAAAAGCGGTGCTGGGCTCACTCACAGTGCAGGGAAACAGTGATGAATGTCTGCGCTCCCAGAACACCCCCTACCTCTCCCCAGGAGAGAGACACTGATCCCACAGAGGGGAGGGGAAATCTTGATTTAGGCCAGTTTTGGTTTAGGTGAGGTTTTCATTAACACATTCTTTGAATCCTCTATTTACCATGTGCAAGACAGCAGGAGACGTTATGAAATACACATAGATCATTACCATATGGAAACATATTTTGAAAATGCATTTTAAAAATTATTGTGGGAAGTAAACATGTGACAAAAAAAAGTCCCATTTCTGCACCTCCATCATGCACAATTCGGTGACATTAATTACATTCATCACGTTTTACAGCCATCTGTTTTCCAATTTTTCCATCACCCTAAACAGAAGCTCCATGTCCCCAAGGCAATGGTCCTTCCCTCACCTCCCTCTCTCCTCTGGCAACCACCAATGAACTTGGGTCTCTAAGCACCTACAACTTTAGATATTCCATATAAACAGGATTATACAATATTTGTCCTTTTGGACCTGGGTTATTTCACTCAACATAATGTTTTTAAGGTTCTTCTATGTCATGAATATATCAGTACTTCATTTTAAAAAAACACCTTGTTACTACCCAGCCAGTTGGCTTTCCATTCAGCAGTTCACAAACATTTTGATTTGTGATGCTGATTGTAACCACCATGATGTAACAGCACTCCTCCCTCCTCCCCCTTGAGTTTACCATTTCCAGCTGTCCATCTCTCCTATCCCTTCTGCCTCATTTTACTCCCCGGGGGAATGAAGCTCTTTTAATCTCATATGGCTGATTGTTCTAAGTAGTACATTCCTCTCTGGTTCTACTGATAATCATATAGGTTTGTCTATTGTTTGAAAGTTGTGGCAAGAGGATGAGTTCAAGTCCAGGCTGGAAGGGAGACAAAGGGCCATAGTCTCAGGGGTTCCAACCTGTCTCTTTAAGGCCAGTAAGTCTAGGTCTTTTAACTCTTGGTACCAGCAGCCAGGAAATTAAAAGACAAATTGCATTCCGAAAGTCTGCTGTCAGAGCCCTTTCTAAAGTATTGAAGAGCAACGATGTCAGTCTGGAGACTAAGGTGCACCTGATATAGGCCATGGTCTTTATAGTTACTTGCTATGCATCAGAAAGCTGAAAAATGACTAGGGAGGATAGAAGAATTGATGCCTTTGAGCTGTGGTGCTGGAGAAGAGTACTGAATATAGGATGGATGGCTAGGAGAACAAGTTTGTCCTAAAGAGGGTGAGACCAGGCTTCTCCTTGGAGGCAAGGATTCTGAAGTTTTGTCTGACATAACTTTGGACATGTTGCAAGGTAGGACCAGTCCTTGGAGAAGGACGTTGTGCTTGGGAGAGCGTAGGGACAGCACAGGAGAGGAAGACTCTCATGACATGGATTGATTCAGTGACTGGGGTAATGAGGGTAGGTGTGTCAGAGACAATGAGAATGGCACATGATAGAGCAGGGTTTAGGGCTGTTGTACATAGGGTCGCTATGAGTAGCAGGCGATTTGACAGTACATAACAACAACAACAAAGTCTGGGTTGGTTTAGGGATCCCCCCCCCCCATGATTTTGCATTTGTTCCACATTTTTCACACATTGGTCCAGGACCTCTTACTGTGATCATTCTCAGAGCAGTTGGCATGACTTGCTGTTCTTGACTAATATTCCACTGTTGTTGCCGTTGTTGTTATGTGCTGTCGAGTTGCCTGCGACTCACAGCAACCCTATGTACAACAGCCCTAAACCCTGCTCTATCCTGTGCCAATTTCACTGTCTCTGACACACCTACCCCGATTACCCCAGTCACTGAATCAATCCACATCATAGAGGGTCCTCCTCTCCTTCACTGTCCCTCCACCCTCCCGCGTATGATGTCCTTCTCCAAGAACTGGTCCTGCCTTGTAACATGTCCAAAGTATGTCAGATGAAGTTTCCGAATCTTTGCCTCTAAGGAGCAGCCTGGTTTAACCCTCTCCAGGCTGAACTTGTTTGTCTTCTTAGCAGTCCACTGTATATTCAATACTCTTCTCCAATACCACAGCTCAAAGGCATCAATTCTCCTTCTATCCTCCCTAGTTATTGTTCAACTCTCTGAGGTGTAACAAGTTATTGCAAAGACCATGGCCTGTATCAGGCACACCTTAGTCTCAAGAGTGACACCACTGCTCTTCAGTACTTTGGAGGGGTCCCTAACACCTGACTTTGCCATCTCAATACGTCTTTTCATCTCCTGTCTGCTGGTGCCAAGAGTGTTGACTGTGGAGCCAAGCAAACTACAGTTGTTAACAATCTCAATCTCTTCACCATCCATCCTGATGCTGCCAAGTGGCCCAGTGGTTAGAATATTCCACTGTAAAATTCCATTTTAAGGAAGAAAATAAGACCAACTGTTGTAAAAGAATCATGCTGCATGTATAACTGAAACACTAAGGCAAGTTGGGGTTGAGAACAAATACAATCACAGGGGACATGGAGCACCAGCAAACCACTACAGAGGGAAGGTGGAGTGGACCAACAGCCGGCCAGCAGAGTCCCGAACACCAGACAAGACGCTCTTCAAGGCAGGCCAAAGAGAGTGCTGCTGTTTACAAGATGGCAACCACCACATTTGAAAGTGGTGATTTAGGGACAACATATTGTGTACAGAACAAGGAGCTCTAAAGTTGGCAGTTCAAAACTGCTCAGTGAATCCATGGGAGAAAGACCTGGCAAACTATTCTTGTGAAAACCCTGTAGGGTAGTTCCACTAGGTCTTAGGGGATCACTGTGCATCACAGTGTGATTCAGCCTCTGGCATGTGGGGATGAGAAGACTAAATTCTTTGTATGGTTGTTACTTGCTTGCTGAAACTGAGGAGGACCTGAAGCGCTTGCTGCAGAAGGTCAAGGACTGCAGTCTTAAATATAAATTGAAGCTCACCATCAAGAAAACAAAGGTTCTCACCACTGGGCCAATTGGCAGCATCATGATAGATGGTAAAGAGATTGAGACTGTTGACAGCTTTAGTTTTCTTGGCTCCATAATCAACAACACTCTTGGTACCAGTATCCAGGAAATTAAAAAACTAATTGCATTCATAAAGTCTGCTGTCAGAGAACTCTTCAAAGTACTGAAGAGCAACGATGTCAGTCTGGTGACTAAGGTGTGTCTGATTTAGGCCATAGTATTTGTGGTGCTGGAGAAGGGTACTGAATATACCATGGACAGCTGGGAGAATAAACAGGTTCATCCTAGAGAGGGTGAAGCCAGGCTGCTCCTTGGAGGAAAGGATTCTGAAACTCCATGTGACATACTCTGGGCATATTGCAAAGAAAGACCAGTCCTTTGAGGGAGACATCATGCTTGGGAGTGTGGAGAGACAGTACAAAAGAAGAAGACCCTTGGTGAGATGGACTGATTCAGTGACTGGGGTAACAGGGGTAGATATGTTGGAGACAAATAAGATTGACACAGGACAGAGCAGGGGTTAGGGCTGTAGTACATAGAGTCACTGTGAGTCACAAATGACTCGATGGCACATAACAAAAACAACAGTAATTGTTATTACTGAGTGAATGAGTACCATCGAGTTGGAACCAATGCATAACTGACCCTCCAGCATGTTTTCAGAGGCTCCAGGGAGGAAACTGCCCACCCTCCTGGAGCAGCTGGTAGATTCAAACCACGTGCCTTTGGGATTGATTGCAGCACAGTTTCTTACCATTAGGGCGCCAGAGCTCCAGGTCGTTATTAGCAGGGACATAAACTTAGAGCGGAGAGTGGCAGAGTAGACAACAAATAAAGAAAACTTTCAAGCAAGAGGTGGTTTGAGGAATACTGGTTATTTTTTTTTTTTTAATCTAAGCTTGGAAAATAGCAGGTAACAAACCATTCAGTTGCCACCATCCTGAAAATGGGTTACGAGATGGGATAATTTTATGATCATCCCAACATCAACTTGCTGTCATTTTGTAAGCAATATTTTATTTCTTATTGAAATTTTAATCAAAGTTTATAGAGAACCTGGATTTCCATTCATTCATTTTTGCACATTTTCCTCCCTGCCCACCGCCACTTTTCCCAGTTTTCTTTTCTCTTTGGAAAAAACAAAAAAAATTCTATCACCGTTGTACAATTCCCCTCACCCCGAGCCCACTTTACTATGAAGCTGTTATTCTGAATTATTTTCATTCAAATAATACCCAATCATATATTCCTTTTAAACAGTTCTCTCCCTCATATGTTTCAATGCAGTATACATTATTTATCCCTTCTTTTCTTAGTTTCCCCTCAACCCCAATGTCAGGCCTGTTTTATAACAGCGCATTATGCAGTATTTATGCTTTTGTGATTGAGATATTTCACTCAGGATAATGTCCTCCAAGGTCACCCATTTTGTATATTTCATGAGTTCACTTTTTTCAGTGCTGCATAGTATTTCATTGTGTGAATATACCACAGCTTCTCTATCCATTTTGTTGTTGATGGTCACTTGGGTTGTTTCTATCTCTTTGCTATTGTGAACAATGCAGCAATAAACATGGGTATGCATATATCTGCCTGGGTGCCAGTTCTGGTTTCTTTAGGGTATATTCCCAGTAGTGGAACTGCTGGGTCAAATGGTATATCCATTTCCAACCTTTTGACAAAGCTCCATACTGCCTTCGCCTTCCAGAGTTGCACTATTTGACATCAACAGCAAATAAGGGTTCCAGTTTCTCCACAATCTTGCCAGCATTTGTTGCTTGCCGCTCTGTTGAATTTTGCTAATCTTACCGGGGTGAGATGGTATCTCATAGTTGTTTTGAGTTATTTTGTTAATTTAACTCTTTATTGTGATCTGAGTGATAGCTTCAGAGCATAGTGGTTTTCTGTTCAGTAAGGCATCCACATTATATGTTGTAACACTGTTACAGTCCCCACATTATAACAGCACCTGTCCCCCTCCCTTGATTGTCATTTTTATTCATCCCTTCCTGACTTCTAGCTTTCTCAATAGGCAAATGTCATCTTTTTTAATCTGACATGGTCGACTGTCTAAACAGTGCATTCCCCTCTGGTCTTACTGATTTTAGGCATTCTTTTGATACACAGCTATTATAATGGCAGTAACAGGTTGTTTTTAAAAACAAAAAACCAAAACTGTCTGTTCTGTTCTAAAACAAAGGAGGAACCAGCCTCTCTGGACAGGTTACTAGCACCTGCACCAAACCTCAATTCCCAAACTCCTCTTCTGGATGCAGGGAACCCTCTGAGAAGCTTCTTCCATACTAGTGTTTGGTGCACTTCCAAACAAATCTCCCCAGAAAAATCATTAAAAGCAGAGAAAACGCTCCCTCATGGGAGCCAGCAGGAAAAACCACACTCACCGCGGGTCCTGAAGAAGAAGGGGTGGTAATTGCTTTCGTTTTTAATGGAAGGGAAAGGGACAATCTTTACAAAGTAATCCGTTTCAAATTTCATATTCAGGAAAGGCTGAGATTCCATTCCCTAAAAGGGGACAGAAGTACAGGTGACATGATGGAGGAACAGTCCACCCTCCCACCTCCAATGAGCCCTCCTTTCCCGTCCCCCTGCCACCACCCGTGGCCACGCAGATGCACTGTCCAACCCGTGGGCCAAACCTGGCAGAGTGAGGAGGTCAAGTCTATTGCCTACACTAGTCTGATGTAAGAAATTCTCACTTAAATTCAAAATGAGTATCAACAGTGCTATCTGTTCATGAGCAAGGAGACCATGGCTGATTGAAAGCAAACCTCAGAACTATGAGGTAGGCGTCCACCCCTCACAACAGAGACATCTTCCAGGAAGGCTGTGTAACAAGAGACACGTGTTTTCCACAGAGGGGTGCTCAAGACTTTTCCTGGTCTCCTGATGCTGCCCCACCATCCTCACCCACCTTGGCAGGAGGTGTGTACCTCCCCCCTCTCAGATTTCACAGGCTTTCAATAGACCATTCAAACCCCTGGAACAATGCTGCGTCTTTGGGCGCATTCCCTGTGTGTGACTTACGGTTCTTTTGAAGCTGCTGTTGAACTGCTTCGGGTCCTTTAGAATCAGTTGTTGGCACTGTCTCCCTTCCGACTTGAGCTCCTCCAGTATTACTCGGAATCCTTTTAGGAATTCAATGCCTGAGCAGAGCAGAATGCTTTTATTAAAAACGTGCCTAATTATTTCTGAACACACTTTCTTTCCTCTAAGATTACCCAGTCACCTCCACCCCCTGAGCAGAACCGAAGGCACCTTCGCTCAGTTAGAATATCTGAGTTTATAAGGAAGAGGGTAGTCAGGCTCTGCATTCCTCTGGTTGCCCCACCAGGTGATTTTCTGCTCCGCTGTCACTAATTAATCTTCAACACAGCTGGCCATGTCACAAATCTTTGCCACCTCTGCAGCATTAGGGTTGAAATGCTTAGACTCAAGTCACAACTGATTATAAAAGCACAGTGGAATAAATGGTGTAGAGGTCACTGAACAGAGTACATTCGGCTGGTGACCATTCCCAATGTTGACTAGAATATCCCCAAATCATGCTTCTACTTCAAGTTTTATTCCATTTCTTGACTTCTTTCAATGGTAACACCAAAATTCGTGTGTGTGTGTGTGTGTGTGTGTGTGTTTCCCACTCTGTCCATCAGTCCCCAGGGGGTCCCTGGTCTGAGATTAGTTTAGGAGCACGTACGTCTATGGGATTTACAAAGCTGTTCTTGCCCTAATCGCCTGCTTTCAGGCAGACACCCAAGAACTGCCCAGTGTGTGCCCTTCACACAGCACTCAGAGGCCCCGACGCCCACAGTGCTAGTGAAAGGCAGAGGCCCGGTCTCCCACCACCCAAGCTTCCCCCTGCACGTCCAACTGGATGCTTTCAAAGGGATTAAGCTCCCACGGCCCGCCCAGGGCCCTGTCTCCCATGGAGACTAGCAAGGTCCAACTGCAGCTGGAGAGCCCCAGAGCCGGCCTCAATTGGCGTGGTATCGATTTCACATTCTTTCTGAACACTAGACCGGGAGTCATGTTCAACCTTCCCTTGTTCCAGCGCAAAAGTAATTACACAGGATGTAATTAACCAGGTGGGAAATTTATTAATGGCAAAGGCCAGAGGACTCTCCTTCCAATCGGTTCTCCAACCCTATAATTACTTGATGACCGAGCACCTAGTCTTTTGGGGGGAAGGACAGAGAAACAGCAGGCAGAGCTTCACAAGAGAAGGGTTCAGACTGCCACAATACAAAGGGACCGAATTCCACCATTTTTCCTGAAGGCAGAGCTTTCTGTGGGGATGATAGCTAGCTGATTTTTTGGGAAACAAGTCCTTCAAAGCTACACTATCATTTATGTGTAGTCCCCAGAACCACTGCTGAACAAAAACCTAAGTCTTATGATGACAAAAGATGATTTTAAAAAACCAAAACAATGTCACTGAGTTGGATCTAACTCATAGCATCCCTCTGACCAATGGTAGAGAAGAGATGTCCTTCAGGGTTTCCAAGGTTGGAATCTGTACAAAGGTAAATTGCCTCTTCTTTCTTCCATAGGCAGCTGGGTTTTAACTGTCCAGGTTTCGGTTTACAGCTGAGCATTTAATCACTGCTCACCAGAACTCCTCCCCACAGTATGGCGGCTGGTGAGTTCAAACCACTGAATCACCAGACTTCCAAGTTTGTCATCTCAAGTGGCAGGGCACTACTTCTTCTCTTTTACTAAAAAGAGCCGCCTGAAAAAAAGCATTACGGCAAGTGTGAAGGTTGAGGTGGTTGTTACGTGATGTTGAATCGGAACCAACTCATAGCTGATCCTCCAGTGGGCTTTTCGAGGCCGTAATCTCATGAGAGGAGAGTGCCCGTCTTTCTCAGAGCAATTGGTGAATTCAAACTGCATGCCTTTGGGATGGCAGTACAACTCTTTACCACTAAGCCACCAGAGCTTCCTGGAGGCTGTGGGAGAGGCAGCAAATATCATTTCTGTAACATAGCAACACATTTATCACAGTATTATACTGCCTTATTGTCATGTAATGATTAGTAATTTTATAGAGCAGCTTCCCGTGAAGACATTTTTTTGCTCCTTTTTACCATTAAATCATTGAATCTTAACAATCAGAGCAGAAAGGTATTACTCTTGCCATTAAGCACAAAGAAATGGTGTGAAAGAACATTCCATAGCTGGACAGCTTTGAGCAGTGGCAATATTGTAGCCAGTGAGGTTTATCTGAGATGCGATTATTGCTAATTGAAAACTTTCCCCAAAATATGGTTTTGCAGTGTTTTGGGGGTTTTCCCTCAGTACAAGAAGATACTAACAACCTTTTTAATAAACTGAAAAGCTTCATATACAGTAAATCCAGGTGAGTGTGATGAAGAATTTTATGTGAGTAGGGGATTGGTTCAATTGTTTCAAAGTGAAGACAAAATCACATAATATTAAAGGTGGCACCCACTCCGAGATGGTAGACAGCTCCGCCATAATGAATGATCTCCCACATCAGGCTCCTGGGAAGGCTCACTATGCCTCTTTTGAGTCAATCATTCTGGATCTTTGATATCTAATCTTTCCCCACTCCATTCACCATGATAAAGCATTCAAAAGTCCTAAAATTTTAGCTCTGTTCCTGGTGTACCTCACTGGCCATGACAGAACCAGTCGACAGCTTGCACTAAACGGTCAGCAGGAATGGTCTTGTAAGTTAGACATCGTTAAGCTGGGGTCTGCCTGTGTTGGAATCCCAAGCTCCATACTTGTGAATGTTCAAGAGGTCAGGTAAGTGGAGTGTTGCCTTCAACCTCATCCTATGAGAATGACATTAAAAGTACTGTAGACATGGAGAGCACAGGCAAGATAACTGAGGGAAAACAAGTCCCATCTCAGGAGAACAGAGTCAAATGGATCTGTTAACACACGGAACTCCAACGGCTGCCAGAAGCTGACGGAGAACAACTGACCTGGAGAACCATAGTCTGAATGTGGATGCTGTTCAAAAGAGTGGTCGTTGACCCCACCCAGTGATTCCACAACAAGACCTGGAGATTTGCTCCTCTAAAGACTGCAGATGTCATGGGCAATTCTGCTTTATCACATGGTATCTCTGTTAAGTAAAAAATGACTGGACGGCACCTTACCACAACAGCCTCCTAACCTGAGATAAAATGATTTTGGCTTTTAAAGCTACCCACTTGTGGTATATGCATTAGGGTTGCACCACAGAAACAACACAGGAAGGGATTAGTCAGGCCGACCTCCCTTAAACTTTAGCCTTAGGGGGAATGACCACTTCTCTTCTGTCCACAGAAAATGTTTCAATCTTTAAATGTTAAGATAATATTATTTTTGGAAAACCCACTGGGTTCAGATGGAGCAACATAACAAGGAAAAGTGAGCTGGGTCAGGTTTTGTTCCATCCTCCCTCTTCTCACGCTTACCCCTTTTGCAATCTGGTTCTTCTGAGATTTAGTCTGATCAGTTTAGAAAAAAAAGACATTATTTTACTTTTCCCTTGGCCTGATTTTTTTTTTATAAATGCTGAGACTAGATGGCAATGCCATCATGGCAGTCTTGAAAAGCAGGTCCTGCCGGTAGTGATAACGTCACTGTCTGAAGCATTCTCTCTAGAACTGCACTCTGTACTGTCTCCAATTTTTACAGCAAACCGAGCAGCAGTTATACTCATTTTACAAATGGCTCAGAGTTATAATTTCCACTTTACAGATAGGAAAACTAGGGGTTTGAGATACCTGTGCTGTTGTTGTGTGCCACTGAGTTGAAAGTGACCCAGGGTGGACCCTCCAGCAGGTTTTCAAAGTCAGTAAATCACATGGGAAGAGACTGCCCATCCTTGTCCTATGGAGCAGCTGGTGAGTTTGAACCCTGTGCCTTTGGGATTGCAGTGCAGATTTTTAGGCCACCAGAGCTCGCCTTTGAGATACTTGAATGCCTTTTATAAAAGTAGTGTATGAATTCAAATAGGCTCATCTGAGTCAACTGCCTGGGTCCTTCCCATGTCTCAACTCAGTTCTATCATCACTTCATTAAAGAGGACAGGTTCAGCCTGAAGCTAAGTCTGGATAGATAATGTTGAGTTTGTTTTTACCTATTTCTTTGTTTTGGTTTGACTTGCTTGCGGTCTCTACCATTTCAAAAAAATGTCAAGTTTTACCATTTTGAAAATTTCCATTCTCAGGTGCCAACATTTAAAACTTGGCTGAGTTTTCATGGTTGCACATGGAAACCAACACTATCCTGAAAAAGCCAAGAAATGTGTCAATGCTGGGTCTGCACGTGTGTGACCCCAGAGACTATTATCCCGGGATGCTGAAGCCACTGAGCCCTTGGACAACATGTCCCCCAAGTCACTAGCTCTCTCCCCACTGCAGACACACAAAGGCCAGAGGCCAGTGCCATCAGTCACTGATGCACGTCCTCCACCAGGCATCTCTCGGTAACACTAAAGGGGCAGTTAACATCAACTCGTGTGTGTGTGTCTGTGAGTGTCTGCAGTAAAGTACAAAATGTGTCTGTGTCCATGCCAACCTACGCTTGACTCATGCAAAAGACCTGCCTGGCTACTGGAGACTATTGCATTTGGGGCCCCTGCACTGGGCACTAGTCACCATGGGGTACCTCACTTTCTGACCACTTACCAAGTGCTCCTGGTGACCACAGAATGGTGACAGCCACCTGGTCGTGACAAGCGTACTGACTGATGGTGATGTTCTGGGCGTCGGCAATCACATGTTTCCCCACCAGGTTCAAGTAAGTGGTGCAGTCTAGGGGGGTGGGAAGGTGAAAAGAACATCTTACACAGTTTCATTTCCAAGTTCATTTTCTCAATTACATAGTGATGCCTAGAAGTAGCCCAGCCCATTCTGCTGAAAGAGGGTATTCCAAAGCCCAAATATGACATCCAAGATGACTGCCTGGAAAACTAAAAGGTCAGGCCACCTGTAACCTCCACATCCCACCTTGGGTTAAATTCCAGGACAGTGAAAATAGGCTGTGGGTCACTGGCTGCAAATTTTTATAAAATCTTAGGACATTTTGCTTTGACAAATATTTAAACAGAATTGCCAATTCTATTATAAAGTTGTGTGAAAGAATACCAAAATAATCTAGACTGAATTTGTTTGCAGAAAAAAAAATTGTTGCAGAGGATGAGGTGACTGCAGAAAAGGAACGAACATGAGGCGGAGAATCCACAGGCAATGATTCAAAACAAGATTGTCAACCTAATTAGTATCTGCAAGACATACAGGTACACCCTGTTATTACTGCACTGCCCAGATGCTGCATTTCCCCAGAACAAATGGAAGATTTGTGACCACCTTGTGTTAAGCATATTTGATGGCACTATTTTTCTAGCAGCCAGTATTTGCTTAGTGTCTCTGTGTCACATTTTGGTAATCCTTGCAAAACTTCAAGCTTTTTCACAATACTATCACACACTTAAGAGACAATAGCATATCATTAACATAACCTTTATGTGAAGCGGGACACCAAAATATTGCCTTATCACAATATTAATTTTATTGCGGTGGCCTGGAAATGAACTCACAATAAATATCTCCAGAGTATGCTGCAGACATCTGCTCTACACTTTGAGATTTAGTGACTAAGTCAAAGATAACCTGAATCATCAAAGATTTATCCTGAAACATTATCTATTATCAAAGATACAAGACTCATCAGATCTAAATAGCCCCACACTCCTTAAAAAACAAAACCACCTGATTTTTTATTTTTGTCTAAGGACGCTTACTCAAAGCCACCTGTCAGTGTAGCCGCAACCCTGGGAGCAGCTGCGCCAACTGGTATTGCTGTACACACCTTCAAAGTCTGCATAAGCCCTACAAAGCTGTCAGAAACTTCCAGCTGGACCTGGGCTGCGATTTTAGGGAATGGCCACTCATGCAAGAAGAACTAGCAACTATGGCACACAGTCAGAGGCCGTTTCATCTCTGTTTCTTTCTCAGTGATTAAAGCTGACCACCCTCTTCCGCATCTGATGTGAAATCTTAGATTCCTCAAAACACTCAAACCTGCTCATTACCCTTGGAAGGAGAAAAACGCTCAAGGACACTTTCTAGGAAGTTCCAGGGGTGTGCTGTGTTTAACTTCTCCCATAACTGTAAACAGCACAAGACTTTTTCCTTTTTTGTAACTAAAAATGTTCACATGAGATAGTTGAAAACCACAAAAGAATGTAAGAAAATTGAAAAATTATCCATAACCTCTCATTATGTAGAGGGGAACTGCTATTAACATTCTAGTGGACATCCATCTTAACCTTTTACAGTGCACAAAATATTCTTTTACATTTTAAAAAATGTTATTGTTGAGAACAGAGTAAAAATTCACTGCCATGGAACAGATTCCAACTTAAAGTGGCCCTTAGAGGACAGTGTAGAACTGCTCCACACAGTCTTTTAGGCTGCAAATTTTTACAAGAGCTGCTGCCCTGTCTTCCTCCCACAGAGCGGTTAATGGATTTGAACTACCAACCTTTCAGTTGGCATCCTAACTCTTAACTCACCAGGGCTCTTATACGTAGTAAAACATAAGCCAATTCAAATTTATACATGTGTAATTTAGTGACAGTAATTACATTCATAAACTCACGGTCCCTTTAGATTTCAATTCTCCAAGCTATTATTAACAATTTAATCATGTATACATAGTTCTTTCCGGTGTGTGTGTGTGTGTGTGTGTGTGTGTGTGTGTGTGTGTTGGGTTATTTATTGGGCTGCTAAACAAAAGGTTTTGTTGGTTTGGTTTTTTTAAAATCTTCTTTATTTTATGCTAGTTTATTCACAAAGTTTGAATACATTGCTTTTGAAATCAGATTCTTTCAATTTCCCTCACACCCCACTCATCAAATTGTACAACCCAACGAATAATTCCCCCTCCCCCTGCACATCCCCATCCCTCTGCTTCCAGCCTCTCTCAGCCCTCTTGGATCCTTATACTCATTCTACAATAATGATTTTATACAATATTTATCCTTGTGGGACTGAGTTCACTCAGCATAATGCTCTCTAGTCCCTCCCAAGTTAGGTAATAATTTACAAAATAAATCATTGCTCCTAAGTGCTGCATTCCATTATGTGAATGTATCATAATTTTTCAAGCCATTCATTTGTGGTTGGACATTTGGGCTGTTTCCTTGCCAAATACAACCAGAAATGCACAATCTTAAGAGGATAATATTGATGCATGGGACTTTCTAAAGATTAAAGCCATGTGTGCATCAAAAACGTTTCCCGACAGGGTGAAAAGAAAACCTACAGACTGGGAACAAACATTTGGTAATAACATCTCAGATAAGAGTCTTATAACAAAAGTTTACAGAATACTCCTGGGCCTCCACAAGAGAAAAACTGATAACCCAATTAGAAAATGGGCAAAAGACATGAAAAGAATTTTCAGAGGAAGATATTTGAATGGCAAACAGACACATGAAGAAATGCTCCGAATCACTAACAGTAAGAGAGATGCAAATCAAAACCACAATGAGGTACCATCTCTCTCCAGGAGCAGTGGCAAAGTTTAACAGGGCAGCAAGGATGTGGGGAGAGAGGAACTCTTATACATTGTTGGTGGGATTGTAAAATGGTACAACCATTCTGGAAAGCAGTTTGGCACTTCCTCAAAAAGCTGAACATAGAAATTCTATTTAACCCAGCTATTCCATGACATAGAATATACCCTGAGAATATGAGAACCGAGACACAAATGGAGATTTGTACACCAATGTTCTAGCAGCAGTATTCACCACTGCAAGAACATATATAGTTCTTAAAAGAGCATGATGTTCAAGATAGACATTCTTTACTAGTTAAGCTATACCATTGAGTGAGGTTGAAGAAAATGTCAGAGGATACTTTTGTTTAAAGTTTATTTCACAGCAATAATCTCAGGGGTATACCCTTTTTAATATTTTACTAAACACAGTGTGATTGGCACAGGACAGAGCAGAGTTTAGGGCTGTTTGGTGTACATAGGGTCACTATGAGTCGCAGGCGACTCAACGGCACATAACAACAACATAATACAAAAGGGTAACGTATACATAGACACATCCCCTTTTCAACTGCTCCCTTCTCCCTGTCTGTGGCTTACTGTCTTACTTCTATCACTTTGATCGGCTTCTAAAACAGTCACATTTTCAATAAAGGATGCTAATAATGAATAAAATTGGGTTCTGCTTCAGATGAAAATTCACTCTCAAAGCAATAAGCATGTGTTCTCTGGGTACAGAAAATTATTTACAAGGTTCTTGTTATTACATGCTGTTGTGTTGAGTACGACTCATAGCAACCCTATGAACAGATCCGAGCCATATGCCATATGCCAACCTTACCATTTCTGACATACGTGAGCACATTGCTGCAACCACTGTGTCAATCCACCTAGCTGAGGGACTTCATCTCCTTCACTGACCAAGCACAATGACCCTCTCCAAGGTACAGACTCTCCTAGCAACACATCCAAAGTGTGTGAGATGAAGCTTTGTCATCTCTGCCTCCAAGGAACTCTCTGGTCTAGCACTCACTTTTTACAGATGAGCCAGGAGGGGACAGCCAGGAGGCTCAGTGCGCCATAGCTGACCAACTAGTCTGGACTAGAACACAGCCCCAGAACTCGCTCAGGCATCTCGATACTCTTATCACCAGCTCAGTGCTGTGAATATCAGAAGTTTTGAATCAGGGGTGTTAAGTAAAAATCCTGGCCAAAATCAGTTTCCTGTTATATAAGAAAGGCACACTTATAAATATTTTTTAAAAGTTAATCTACTGAGAAGAATAGGAATCTCAGAACACTTGATTGTGCTTATGTGAATCCTATACTTGGACCAGGAGGCAGTCTTCAGAACAGAGCAAGGAAACACTGCATGGTTCAAAATCGGAAAGGTTGTGCATCAAGGATGTGTCCTATCTCCATATTGTCTCAATCTATATGAGGAACAGATTATCAGGGAGGCTGAGCTCTATGAGAAATGTGGCATCAGGATTTGAGGTAGATTCATCAATAACCTGAGTTATGAAGATGACACAACCCTTCATGCTGAAACTGAGGAGGACCTGAAGCACTTGCTGCAAAAGGTCAAGGACTGCAGCCTTCAATATGATTGAAGCTCAACATCAAGAAAACAAAGATTCTCACCACTGGGCCGGTTGGCAGCATCATGATAGATAGTGAACAGACTGAGATTGTTGACAATTTCAGTTTGCTTGGCTCTTGGTACCAGCAGCCAGGAAATTAAAAGACCAATTGCATTGGGAAAAGTCTGCTGTCAGAGACCTCTCCAAAGTACTGAAGAGCAACAACGTCAGTCTAGAAACTAAGGTGCGCCTGATCCAGGCCATGGTCTTTGCCATTACTTGCTATGCATCAGAGAGCTGGAAAATAACTAATTGATGCCTTTGAGCTGTGGTGCTGTTTAAAAGTATTGAATATACGATGAACTGCTAGGAGAACAAACAAGTTCATTTTGGAGAGGGTGAAGCCAGGCTGCACCTTGGAGACAAGGATTCTGAAGGTTTGTCTGACATACTCTGGACATGCTGCAAGGCACGATCAGTCCTTGGAGGGGGACGTCATGCTTGGGAGGGTGGAGGGACAGTGCAGGAAAGGAAGATCCTTGATGAGATGGACTGATTCAGTCTTTGGGGTAATGGGGATAGGTGTGTCAGAGACAGTAAGACTGGCAAAGGATAGAGCAGGGTTTAGGGCTGTTGTATATCGGGTCACTGTTAGTCAAAGGTGACTAGATAGCACATAACAACAACAACAATCTACTGAGGACTCTACTGACGACAAGGAGCCCTAGTAGTACAGAGTTAAGCACTGGGCTGCTGGATTCAAACATTCAAGCACTGGTCAGTGGTTCAAACCTACCTACCACCTGCTTCTCAAGAGAAAGATGAGGCAGTCTGCTTCCATGTTAGGAGCCTTGTGAATCAAATGAGGCAGGTGTTCTCTGTCCTTCAGGATCACTATATAGTACTATCAACCCCACAACAATGAATGAGTGAATCTAGGGGCAGAAGGAGTTGTGGGCCAGTGATGAAAGTGCTTGACTGCAAACCAAAACGTAAGTGGTTCAAAGTCACCAGTCACTTCTTGAGAAGAAAGGTGCAGCAGCAGACTTTCATCACATTTGTTGTTGTTAGAGGCTGCCAAGTGGACTAAGACTGACAATAATCCTACTACAAACACCAGCTAGGAACCTTGCGCTATCCTGTGCCGGCCTCATAATCTCCACCATTATGGCCTTAGAAACCCTCAGAGACAATTCTACTCTGTCCTACAGAGTCACAGTGAGGTGTTAACAGACTTGAGGGCTAATAACAACAGCAACACCATGAGGACTAAAGAGAAAGTGGAGCAAATGGTTGGCTGTTCAAATTTCACTCCGCAGCTCCACAGAAGAAAGGCCTGGCAAATGGCATCTATAAGATTACAGCCAAGAAAACCCTATGCAGCAGTTCTACTCTATACCACAAGGGGTGACTATGAGTCAGAGAAGACTCCAAAGCAATAGGGAACAATGAAAGTCCTTTGTCTTTTACTAGGTTCAGAAAAAAGATGGCCAGACAAAAGGAAATCATGATTTTTCTTGTTTTGTTCATTTCTCCTGCCAAAATGAGCACTCTCTGAGTTTCTAGAAATATAAGTATGCAAATACAAAGTCAAAGAATTATCCTGAAACCTCATCAGGCAATCTCCCTCAGAGTTTACAGGATAAATATGGAATGCAAAGGGAAAGGGGTGTAAGGAATTCAGTTTTGATTTAATAGAAAGACATTATCTTCCATGACAAAAGAACATACAAATACGATACTGGAATTCAGTAATTCTGGTACAAACTTGCTAATTGATTCTCTAACTAGTTCTTTTGAGCAGAACTAACTACCAGCTCAATTGAGCAGGCACTTCCCCACAGAGGAGGGGGGATAAATAATCTTATTCAATGGAAAACACTGAGTTTCTTGAACAGCCTGGATCCAATTATTAGTTAAGTCTAAAGTTTTGGGTTCTGGTTACAAAAACTCTATGACCAAATGACATTTAGCCAAAATACCATGGAGCTTCAGATGTTTCAGGGGTCTGGGTGAGCTGTGAATTAAATTCTAATTAGATGCTGAGGAATTACAAAGAACGTAATGGCTGAGAGAGAGGGAGAGGCAAGTGGGCCAGATACTTAGCCCCAGAAGCAAACGCTAAGATCCTTTTCAGCTTTATAGGTACAGCTCTTCTTCCACAAAACCTCATTATTAAATCAGAGATGCAAATGCTTGTTTGCAGCTGACCGGAAAATTTTGAACTCTTGAATGTAACCTAAGCTCTGCCAAGACTGAACGCACACATCAGAAATTAACTTTCTGACTCAAAGAGAGATCCCTTCCACATGTCTTCACTTAGCTGAATCAAGCATCAAGGACGTGCAGCAAGTCTTAGCATCACTGCACTTCCACAGGACACGCACCCACTGTTAATGGGAAATGTCTGAGGGGCCTCCTGTAAGGCCTTCTAGGTTCATTTAAGAGACTGATGTCAGGGACTGTGACTCTGACTTCGACATGCATATCTGTATCTTAAAACTGTGAGGCTGTATCTGAGAACCTCAAAAACCCTGCTTCAAGTAGGTAACCAATTTTGAGGCTTCAACGTGGCCTGTTTCCTTTATTGACACTGACTCAGGTCAGCAACTAAGAGAGGAGACAAGTGTCAGGCACTGAACAGCACGAGTCCCGCTCCTCTTGTCAACATCTGTACTGACAAATTAAGGTTCATATGCCTAAAGCATTCACAGACCTCTACAACTACTTTATGCATAAAAACAAAAGCAGCCACAAATACCGCATAACACCGTTACTATAAAAACAGAAGGATAATCAGTAAGATTATGGCTATCCAAAGTGGGAAGGGGAGGAAACAGGGGGGTGAGGGTGGGAAATCACAGGGTAGGCAGAGGTTGGTGGGTGGGAGAAGGAATAAAGGAATTAGGAAAGATCCAGTAGGGATCTGAAAAGACAGAGTAATAGTGGACATACATCAATGGTGATTAATTTTATAGGACACAAGTATGGGAATGATTGTAAGAAACATAATGTGAATTTTTTAAAAAAAGAAAGAAAGAAATCTCTGCTTAGAAGGGACTCTATAGATGTCATCAGGAAAAGCTCACCCACCCTCCCATGTGTAAAACAATTCAGCCAGAAATTGTCACACTTTCTCTGGGGTAAAGGTGCCCTGGTGGTGGGCAGTTCAAATCCATCAGCTAATCCATGGAAGAAAAGTGGACTGTCTCCTCTTAGAAACCTCAAGGAGGGTGGCTGTGAGTCAGGATTGATTAACTGCAGTGGGCTTGGTTTGTTTTCTTTGGAGAAAGGGGGAAAAGGTGCTGTGTCCTAACTCCAGTAGGAATGACTTCTAATATTAATAAAACAAAACCGAGTTGTTGAATCATTTCCACCTCACAGTGACACCCTATGCGTGTCAGAGTAGAATCATGCTGCATAGGGTTTTCAGTGACTGATTTCTCAGAGCGTCATCAGCCTTTCCTTCCAAGTCGACTTGTTAGGCTGCAGGAATTCCGTCTAACATGCATAGATTTTTGAGTACAAATCACAGACATTTACTGACTTGAGCAGTTACACTTTAAGATTCAAACAATACCAGGAAGAAGTTAATTTTTATTTTATCTGATGAGAAAACTGAGGTATGGGAAAATCAAGTCATTAGTTGCAGCATATGTGACGGGTGGTGGGAAACGAGGGTTGCAACCCAGGTTTGAGTGAGCCATGGCCAAGTGGTAACCCCTAGGCTTAATAATCTGAGATATAAACCCACTTGGTCCAATCTGGGCTTGTAAAAGTGATGACATAATTATCAATATTTTTATAAATGTTCATATGTAAAATGTGAATTTCCTGTTCTTCTTGGAAATCACAGTATCTGGCAACATAAAGTATAAGGCCACAAATGAGCTGAAGTCAAGAAGTCAGTGCTTCCAGGATATGAACAGACACTCCACCAGAGAAGACATTCAGATGGCCAACAAGCACATGAAGAAATGTTCAAAATCCCAAGCTCTAAGAGAGATGCAAATCAAAACAACTATGAGATATTATCTCACACCAGTAAGAATAGCAAAATTTAACAGAACAGCAAGCAACAAATGCTGGTGAGGCTCTGGAGAAACTGGAACCCTTATTCACTGTTGGTAGGAGTGCAGAATGGTGTAACCAGTATGGAAGGCAGTATGGCGCTTTCTCAAAAAGTTGTAGAGATACCATTTGACCCTGCAATTCCACTACTGGAATATACCCTGAAGAAACTATAACTGCCACCCAAGCAGATACATGCACACCCATGTTTATCGCAGCTTTGTTCACAACAGAAAAGAGTTGGAAACAACCCACATGCCCATCAACAAATGAATGGACAGAGAAGATGTGGCATATTCACACAGTGGAATACTACGCTGCACTGAAAAACAAGGAACTCGTGAAATATTATACAAAATGGGTGACCCTGGAGGACATTATGCTGAGTGAAATATCTCAGTCACAAAAGGACAAATACTGCATAGAGCCACTGTTGTAAAACAGGACTGACATCGGGGTTGGGGGGAGACTCAGAAAGATGGGATAAATTATGTGTATTGCATTGAAACAGATGAGAGAGAAACTGTTTAAAAGGGATATACGATTAGGGATTTTTGTCATGACAGGAGTTCAGAGCGAAGGCTGTTATAGTGGAGTGGGCCTGGGGGGAGGGATTGTAAAACAATGAAAGAATTTTTCTTTTACTTTTCTAAGAGGGTAGTGTACTAGAGGGGAGGGTTGGGAGGGGAGAAAAGTGCAACAATGAATGAATGGAAATCCAAAGTCTCTGTAAACTTTCATCAAAATTAATAATAATTTTAAAAAGGGGGGGGGGAAGAAGTCAATGCTTCACACCAAGCATGGTTTTCCAGTTTGTCACAGTCCTCACCATGCCCTAGTATCTTCTCTCATTGAATGTCTCCTGCTGGGCCCTAGAGGCATTTGTGGTTTTGTGTTGAGACTGAGGTGTTTCACTCTGTTGACAAATCTGAGCAGGTTCAGAAGGTTCCTCAACGACAAACCCTGTAGTGTCCTTGATGAAGCACAATAGAGTAAGATTAAGACAGGAGAAGGGATTTCATTCTTTAGCAGACAAGCCAGTTTACTTACTGTCATATCTGAAGGTGATGTTGTGCAGCCCACTGCTCCTGCTGGCTGGCCCCACTCCCTGTGGGAAAACAAAAGAATACAATGAAGAGTGAAGCCAACTTGATCTTCCAGCATCAATCCCCTCCGCAAACCACCAGCACCTCTACTGAGATCCAGCACCACACTGGTCACTGAGAGACATCCACAGCTCTTTCCATCCACTCCACAGGCCCAGCTGTCCCCTCTTCCCCTCCAGATTCCCAGTCCCCGGCAGCATGAGCACGCACTTTCCCTAAGACAACAGGCTCGGGTTGAGTGGGGGTTAAATTATAACTCACCAGCAGTAAAACTGGGAGTGAGACCAAGAGCTGCCAGTTGGAGCCCTTCCAGTTGGATCCCCTGGAAGCACTGATTGGTTATAAAATTCACCAGCCAGATGCCCTCGTCCAAAAACTCTATTAAGTCCCAACAGATAGGCAATTCCTCAAGTCCAAGGAAACTTGAGTTCTCATTCCAAGACCGAGAATGAGTGTGAGAATAAGCCGTTACTTTTAATGAGGAAATTCTTCACTGCATCCCTACCTATGTTTGGAATATATTGGGTTGGTCATAAAAGAATTTTAAAAAAGTGACTTTAAAAGGCCTAACTCTGCTTCTTGGTGATGTGGCTGCTTGCCATCTGTGCTCTTAATAGCAAGGATAACAGCTCCGCCAGACTTCCCACTTTAATTACAGCAGCCACAGAGGGAGGCCAGGGATCCTCCCAGCCAGCCCGCCTGCTCCTAACCCCACTTAGTCATCACAGGGAAGGGCAGCTACACAACCAGCAGCTCCCACCGACTCTACTGTTTCGGGAACAATCTGCAAATGTATGTGTCACCCAGGATTATTTGCAGAAATCCCCCCAAAATATGCTAATTCTGAAATGAGAAATGATGGGAAACTATTCTAACCACACAGCTGACGGTTCCACTCAACAAGAGTGACATGGGGGCGGGGCGGCGGGAGCCACATGCTGGCAGCTGAGTATTTAATGGTAGATTGTTTGCTGAGACACAATGTGCTGAACACTTCAGATGGAACCCTGGTCTCGGGCCATAGCCCACTGTATCCAGAGGCCGTTCACGCTGCTTATCCCGAGGCCAGGCCAGCCCTCTGAAATGGGATCCCACACTAAGATGGACAGGAGCCCCAGGAAAGCACAGCTGTGCAGAAAGACACACACACACACACACACACACACACACACACACACAGAGATCTTTAACTCAAGTGTGGGATAGGCAGTAACACAAAACAAACCAACAGGACACAGCAGCCCGTGATCTGTGGGGCCTACCTTTCTCCCTGGCCCACGTTCCTCTTCTACATACCTTCCCTGCATCCACACTTCCTCCCACATATAAGATTCCAGAGTTTTTCACCTGAACTGAATCACTTCACAAAGCACTGGCACCTAATTAAAACTCAGAGTTTCCACAGCTCCTCAGGGACAAGGCCACAGTCTACAAGCAGATGTCTGAAACCACACAACACATCCCGGCAGGAGGCCAGGAAGTAGATAAGTCAATCCCCCCCTAACCCTATGGTAATGCCCCCCTCCAGGTGCCCAAACCACCCCTTCCTAGTTATGAACCCCCAGGGCACCAGCTGGAGAAGTGAACTGATGTGCTGCTGCATAAGCTGGATATTGCTAGGGACAATAGTGGACAACACAGGCGTGAGCCTGGACCCTGTAGACAGAAAGAATATGGATGCACTCCTTCGCAGAGGAGCAACTGGGTACATAGCATGTACTCCTGGGCACACACACTCAATTCACACCCAGCTTCCTAAGAACTCCTATAATAAGTAGATGGATAAACAGAATCTACATAGCTGAGGTGAAAGTTACAGGCACATATCAGTATGCAAGACACGAGAAGCCACAGGGCAATATCCGAGTTGGTTAAATGAAGGGCAGCAGGAGCTTAAAAGAGGGCAAGGGAAAGGCAGAATGATGGGAGGAAAACAAAATGGAACTAGAGGTCAAGGCCAGCCTTAATCCTTAGATCCAGTAGATAGTGACAAGTGCAAGCTACTTCATTCCCCAAGGTCTTTCTTAATACGAATTTACAGAATGTCAGGGAGGGGGTGGAGGTTCAGAAGGATCATGGGAAGCCACGGAGAGGCAGCACTGTTCACAAATGAAACTTAACTCTCTGAGGCACCTAGTAATCTCTGGTCACTAGTAACTGAGCTTACTTGCGAGGCTTTATTGGTTTTTCTTCTTGTGCTTATTTCTCCTACAATGTGTTTTAAGTTATCTCTTGGGCCCCCGTAACAGGCAATGCAATGCAGAGAGGAGCTCAAGAGGGTGGATGTGTCTGTGCTAAGGGAATTATACATCATGCCTAGAACCTGCCGTTAGCTGCTGTCCAGTCAACCCTCAACTCACTCACAGCTCCCCATGCACAATGGGATGAACCTGTATCATCCCCAGGACCAGGAACTGGATCACTGTGATGCACAAGGTTATCAGAAGAGGATTGCCAGGCCTTCCTAATCTCTTCCAAACAAAAAACTGCTAAAATCTGCTCCACAATCATAGCAGCACATAAATCTCTCCTGACGGATGGGTGGTGGCTGGCTGCCTCTTGAGATGCACTGACTGGGACTCTCAACTAAGAATCCAGCATAGTAAGAATTGAACTCCTCTTCCTTCAAGAATGGTCCAATGAGTTGTGAATGGTCCTGTTCAAGGGGGGTGGTCTGTGAGCTGACCTCAGAGGAGAGCATCCCTTTGCCATTCACTGAGCACTCCACTTTGACCCAATGATCCAGTGATAAACCAGACAAATGCCTCCAGCCTCAACTGTTGCCCATCAAGGTAGTCTCCTAACACTCAAATCTCCTCATCCCTCTGCTCCAAATCCTCACTTACTTCTTAGCACCTCTGGTCCTTTCCTGAAGTGACCCCTCCTGGCCCTCCCAGTCTCTGTCTCCCTGACTCCCAAGCCTCTCCAGGCATTATGATATAGGCCATCCTCAGTTTACAACTAAGATTTGTTTCCAAGTGTGTCTTCAAGTAGACTCTGCAGGTAAACTGAAACAAGTAATCATGTTCTTACTTAGCATCAGGCAGTCAAATGTGTGTCTCAGTAAACAGAATGTAAGGATATGTATTTCAGTAAGTACACAAGGATGCTTCAGATCATTAGGCACTCTCACAGCACAGTCCACAGCCTGTCTGGTTGTTAACTAGAAGGTGGTCCAGATTCTCACCAGGTCCTCCTCAGGAGAGACAAGCATTCTCTTCCTATCCAGAGCCTGGTGTAATGACTGGGGTTTTGTTTGTGTCCTACAGAGGAGCAACGACCTGGGAGGAACCTAAAGGCTTTGTGGGTGTTTGATGCATATAAAACAGTTAAACTTTCCTCTCTGATACAATGAAGCACCATAAATATAACACAATGCATAGTAATAATATAGTGATAGTTACTACATATGGTATTGCACTAGGGAAACTGTGTGTATGTGCATGTAGGTATCAAATATTGTAATGAAACATTAAAGAAACATTTCTTAAATCAGTTTCCAAAACGCAAAGCCATCAAGCCAGTTCTGATTCCTAGTGACCCTACAGGACTGAGCAGGACTTCCCCACAGCGTTTCCAAAGCTGTAATCTTCATGGGAAGAGCCTTCTATGTGTGGGGCTGCTAACCAAAAGGTCAGCGATGCAAACACAGATGACTGAGAGGAGCACTGGTGACCTAAAGGCAAGAAGCTGCACTGCAATCCAGAAGGCACACAGTTCTAATCCACCAGCCGTTCTATGGAAGGATGGGCATTCTCCTCCAGTGCTATTAACTGCCTCTGAAAACCCACCAGAGGTTCAGTAGAAGTCAGTTCCAACTCAAATGTATACAACAACAAACACAAAGGACTGGTAGTCCGCTCCAAGCAAGAAAGCCAAGCCATCTCCTCTACAAAGATTTACAGTCTCAGAAACCGAATGGAGGGTCACCAAAAGTCAGAATCAACGGAAAGGCAATGGTTTGTCTGTTTGCTTGTTTGTTCTGTTACATAAACAAAACTGCCACACCTTTCTCCTGTGGAGCAACAGGTGGGCTGAAAGCCCTGACCTTTTTCAGCCAAATCCTTAAACCCTGCACCAGCAGGAGTCCTTAAAACAGTTTCTTAAAGGTGAAAAGAAGATCACAATTAAAGGTTAGTGTGTACTGTCTTTTCATGTCCTGATACTGAAAATGGCATTCATACAGTAACATTCTAATCTGCCCTCACTTTAAAACAACTGAACCAAAACAGATCCTAACCATAATCACCTTCACTTACTGCACATGCAGCTTTAAAAAAAAATTAAAAAAAAAATTCTTGAAAACCTTTGAGTCTTTTCTTGCACTACAGTAAGGCTTATAGGAATAGTATGCTGATTTTTAATATCTAAAGAAATTATCAATAGCCTTCCATTTCGATCAAGCCACAGCATTGCTTAGTAATGACTGTGGCTTTCTCTGGAGCAGAATCTTTCATATGCCCCATTAGTTTCACTTTGTCCTTTAAAAATGTCTTTTTTTTTATTTTTTATTTGTTTGTTATTTTTGATAACAGACTACAGCATAATGTTTTTCCAAAGACTAATGGTGTTTCACTTCCTTTGGGTCCCTTTGTAATTTCCACTCTACTTTTAATGGTAATTGTTTTCCCCTTTCCCTGATACATCACCCACTTGCATTGGATTTACACTTTGGATAAACAGTTATATGGGTACCTAATAAGAAAATTTAAACTAAGGAGAAAGTTATACACTCAACGGAGTTAATGGGCACATGACCTCACTTTAAAAGGTGGGCCTGGAACCCTTATTCACTGTTGGTGGGAGGGTAAAATGGTGTAACCACTATGGAAGGCAGTATGGCACTTTCTCAGAAAGTTGCAAATAGAAATACCATTTGACCCAGCAATTCCACTACTGGGAATATACCCTAAAGAAACCATAACCACCACCCAAGCAGATATATGCACATCCATGTTTATCGCGGCTTTGTTCGCAATAGCAAAGAGTTGGAAACAACCCA